AGACATTTCATACGATATTATAACATTTACTTATAACGATTATATTATAACGAGCAGCTTAGTCTCAAAAAGATTCGTTCAATGGTCAGGCCAGCTTGGGTGTATACCTAGAGCAGTAGCCAGACTAAAGGCATACGACCTGGAGAACCCGGTCGACGCATGCAATGGTCAGGCCAGCTTGGTAGAACACCGAGAGCAGTAGCCAGACTAGAATACACGGCCTGGAGAATCTGGTCGAAGTCTATTCGTGACCTGGAGAATCCGAGCCGCAATTTCGATTTAAATTATTTCCATCCACCCGGATCTTGCCTCGAGAGCCACTTGTATCCCACTTTTTTTTCTTTTATTGAAAGTAAGTAGTATTATTTTTTAAACTTGATTCTTATTTATCCCCCAATAGTTCTTCTCTTCGCGTAAGACTCACTATTGCGTGCCGTTCAACCCGGATATTAATGGCCAAGCAGGTGGTGAAAAGAAAATTTTAATTTGCCAAATATTTTGAAAGAAACAACGCTAAGTTGTGTGCCGGTTTGTGCAAATGCCGATGGCCAAGTAACTAGCCCGTAAGTAAATGCTGACGGCCAAACAGCCAGCTCTTAGTTAGCCAACTCAATTTTTAAAACTATACGTCGTGCGTCGCTAGTAAAATACCGGCAACCAACGACTATAGACCCCTAAAAAGGAACCAACTTACCAATTCCAAATAAATGGCCATTTACGTGCTGTGGGCACAAATACCAATGGCCAAGTAGCTAGCTAACCCTTCTTTAATCATTTACCCTGTTCCTACCCTAGTGCTCCGTCCTTAACCCTTGCTGTGATGTCCCCAGGCTATTGAGCGAAAGCTTAGGCCTGAATACAAAATTTACTCCTATGTCGTCTTCGACGTAACAATATTGATGGTAAAAAAAAAAATTTTACAATATTCTTCGTACAAATTCTCTTTTAGGATGAATAATAAAAATTTTGGCTCTTTATTATTCACGAGATAATTAATTCATCTTTCTTACACACATTTATTATGATAGAAAATAATTACATAAATTTTTTTAGAAATTACCCAAAGCAGTTACAAATAGAGTGATACTAAGAATTATTAGATCATATTTATAATTATGCATCAATTGATCTAGAAAATTTTGAAGATAAACGGAAGACAAGAAATCTTTTTATTTTATCAGCAACTTACGTTGGTATTCTTCGATATATGCAACAACATTATTAAGATGCAACGGCTATACTGCGAGAATGTGGCAAACCAGATTTATCTATAACAGTTACTTGTAACCTAAAATAAAAACAGATAAAGATTATTTTACAAAATTTTCTGAAAGGAACAACTCCAAATAATATACCAAACATCAGTGACGGATAAATTTATTCAAAATTACAATAAATTTTGAATGACTCAAATAAAAACAAAAGTTTTTGTAAATTTATTGCATGTATTTATTTATACAATAGAA